CAATAAGAATCGAGTAAGGCTGACGCGAGGCGGCCCAACCAACCAGCGCGTGAAGCCCAGTTCCGCTCATTGGCTCGGTCGCCACGCGCCAGCCGAGCTCGCCTCTCATTGGTCACTGTTTTTCGTTAATAACTCGTTAACGGTGCCTCGGAGAACATTTTTGTAAAGGAAAAAGTTGCTTCAAATGACCCAAGGAACCCGCCACTTTCGGATACATTGTATACAATATACAATGTATATTCTTAATATATGTATAATTATTGTATAATACGTACAATATACAATATATATATTATAATTATAATATATTATATTATAATATATTAATATTATATTATATTATAATAATATTATATTATATTATAATAATATTATATTATAATATATATACTCTCAATATACAACAATATACGGTTGAAAGGAAAAACAATTGGCTGTCGTCGCAAAGGATCGACCGACCAGAGAGAGGATTTTTTTTGGCAAAGAGACGCAGAAGAAGAAAATTCTGTCGTCGAACAAAGAGACAAGGATAACGTCGCGAAACCCAGCATTAGCCGTTTAACGAGCGCGCCGCATTCTCCCGCGATTATTTATTCGCTTTCGAGGGATCGCGAAAGGCGGCAGCCGTTTCTCGCAGAAAGGAGGCGCAAGCTGGAAGCGTGGAAGACAAAGGAGGGGAAAAAAGCACGAAAACGGAGATCGCGGAAAAATCGGAATCCCGAGATACCCTTTTCACCTTGCAGCCACGGGAGAGAGCAACAGGACACGCGTCGTGTTCCGCTGCCGGGAATACGGTCCGCGAATAGCTCCACGGATTATCAGCGGCAATATAGAAAATGATGTCAAACCGCGGCTGCTATGTGATCTTTATCTCCTCCAGCTACGGTACGGTATAGTAAAATTCGAGTCAGACTCTTATGAATAAATATTACCCGACGTGCTCTCGGTATGTATTCTCTGCGGCGCGCGCGCGCTGCTCCGGAATTGAATGTTGCCTGTTCAAACGAAAAAAAACAACATTACCGAGAAACACGAGGAACATGTATTCCATTGGATTTGTCTGTGCGTGCAAGCGCGCGCGCGCGCGCGTTGTTCGGAAATCTCGGCGATTCTGTTTCACGATTCTTCGTCCACATTCAACCGTGATTATTATTTTTATCGGTTTTCGATATTCCTTTAAACGCGGATGGTTATCTTTAAATTGGTAATTGGTCATGTTTTTCCCCTTTTTTTTTCTCTTACTCTCGATTTTATTTCGATTGAATTCGTTTTATTTTATGTTACGTAATTCGCGCGAATTTTACTTCGTTCGATTTTCGTTGAAATTATATTTTTATTTTCGATTTTATCCTCTCGTTTCTTACTTTTTTTATTCTTTTCGCTTGGAACACGCGGAGCGATGAAAATGCTGGGGAAACGGATAAAGAAAATATTACGGAGATAATAAAACTATATAATATTTATTATTATTATATTTATTTAAACAATATATTATATTATAGAAATGTAGAAATATAGAATAATATAAATAGAGAAATATAAAAATATAGAATAATAGAAATAAAGAAATAGAAAATAATAGAAATAGAGAAATAGAGAAATATAGAAATATAGAAATAGAAAAATAGAGAAATATAGAATAATAGAATAATAGAAATATAGAAGAATAAAAATATAGAATAATAGAAATATAGAATAATAGAAATATAGAATAATAGAAATATAGAAATACAGAGTATAAAGATTGTCCAAATGATAGAAATATAAAGATTGTCCAAATGATAGAAATATAAAGATTGTCCAAATGATAGAAATATAGAAATTGTCCAAATTATAGAAACATAGAAATTGCACAATTTCGAAAACTGTACAAATTTAATGAACTGAAATCGGCGCACTGATCTATATATATATATGCGAGGAAAATAGCTTCGGCATTTTACACACTGTTGATGATAGACCGCGAACGTTGTCTCTTCTTGGTGCGCGGCGTCGCGCGGCACGAAGTACAGATTTGCAAGATACGAGCGATCCACCGTGATGAAACGATGAGAGATGACAGTAATCTCTGGAGTTACGTTCAACCGGCAGAGGAGTCATATTTGTCGCGGCATGTTCTCTCTACGACGGTCCTAAAATATCACGACGATATTTTGTCGCTATCCCCAATAAGTTGCGAGACAATGTAACACCTAACGCGACCCCCGCTGTAATATTGTAATACGCGCGTTCTCCAAGAAAGGCACACCGTGGGGACATTTCTAGAATATTAAATTACTGCCATAAAACCCCTTGTCCGCAACCCCGAGGCGTCGTGTTTTGCCACGTTATTGCGTTGTTTCCTTGTTTTCCCGTAGATCATTTTCTACTGTGCATGCGTATGTATTATCTGCATAAAACATATATGTATGTATATAGATAGAGAAGGCACCCTCTTTATTGAAAATTAGTTTCCACCCTTAACGTGTCCCCCGCTGGAACTGTTATTTTTCACGGTTCTCGATGAAACAATTCCATTACTATCATAAATCGAAATTGAGGATTTTTATTAATAGTTGATTCCTTTTTTTGATTTTAACAAAATTATGCAAGGTTCTCCGAGTTCAATGAGACTACCCTGTTACACACATACTTCTGTTTTAATTAAGTTGGAATTAAAACTGGCGAGCTCTAAACGCGACCAATATATTATATTCTCATATATAACAATGGCATTATATTATAATATAATTATTGTTATTATTATATTAAGGATTATATTATAATAAATATAAATTATATTATAATAAATATATACTTGATTAGAGAGTAGTTTTTGTAACTCAGAAACATTTTTATAATGTCAAGAACGGTAAAAGAAAAAATTAAAGATCGGTCATTTTGACCGGGTTTATAATTCCAGTGTTAATAACAAAAAAGAAATTGTTTCGCTTAGGATGAAATTCGAATATTAGAATTCGTATACATTTCGTGAACGAGTACCGCGATATTCGTCGACAGCTCAACGAACGGTACAACTTTTCGAGAGTTCCATAGGCTCTGATTCGCCGCAAGACGATCCCTTTCATCTTGCTTTTAACAAGCTAATTAAATGCCATCCGCGCGTTCCGGACGCTGACTATAGTCTATTTTCATCGTACTTTGTAACAGCTTGGTGGTCTTTCGAACGAACGAAGTCGCTTCAAAGTTTCCTTCTACCATTTATGCTTCAGAATTTTATTAAGATTTTGTAGATCGCTGGTCAGACGAGACGGCGCCTTGCCGAGAAGGAAAACACGATATAAAAATAGAGAAGTGTTGTAACAAAGCGCTTGAAAGCAGCTTCGATAGCGAAGCATCGAAGTCCGCGTGTTGCTTCGTTTACGGGCAAAGAGAAGACGGCGACGATGCAAACAGAGATCGATGGAGGATAAACTTGAAAATAAAAATTATGTTCGCAAATGATCGGCGGCGATACATTTGACACGGAGATTCTTCTATAAAGATTATTATTAATATCACGATATTAATTGAACGATCGTTTTCTCCCCGGAGATCTTGGCAGAAATTGGAAGTTCGCGACCTCCAAAACCGCGATTTCTTACCTTTCTGAGCGAAACGGATACTTTTTTAAATGTTTACTTTCCTCGAAAGATCGCTTTCGTTCTTTCGAAGCAAGAAACACGAGCAAAGAGGCGAACGTTGCCTGAACCGTGACAAAAATTAACAGAGGTGACACTACGACGGGACAGAAAACGTCGTGCACAAGCGTGACGAAAAAGGAAGGGTTGCGTTGGTGTAGGTCAGTTCTGTGGACCCAGGTATTTAGCATGGTGGCCAGAGGCTCCGATCGCCGAGAAATGCGGCGGTCTTTGAGTCAAAGGGTCCAAGGGACAAAGGCTCCGGCTGGTCAGCCGATAAGTAGGGGGCGAGTATTTGCGGTGCAGGGTAGGTCTAGACTTATGGCACCGAGGTGTCAGCAATAATGAGCTATAAAGGGCCTAGCGTGGGACATTCGTCGATTATGCTTCCAATAGAGACCCTTTCTCCGGTTTTCCGCCGACGCGCCGCCACAGATTTTCAAATCTGATTCGAACCGATTTCTTTTCCAAAATCCTAAAGTACTAAAGTCTACGAGAAATAACGTATGGCGTGGCATTTAAAAAATCCAACTGCAAGGTGCTGTTGGCTAAATCGCAATTTTCTTGGAATATTTCGAGTTTAACACAAATATTTAAAATTAAAATGTGTTTGTAATATATTCTCCGTATTTCTCCCTTATTCTGAAACATTAGTTTTCACAAAAACTATTATATATTATTATATATATTATATATATTATTCGAAGTTCTTTGATTTTTACGCAAACGTCGTCATTAAACCGCATATTTATGGTTATAAAAGTAATACTAATAATATTAATACTAATACTATATAATATCATATTATATTATTAAAAGTAATACTAAGTATAACTAATATAGTAATATAACTATAAAGTAATATCATAATATGATATTATATAGTATTAGTATTAATATTATTAGTATTACTTTTATAACCACAAATGATATCATAATACGATATAAAATAGTATACTCTTCCTAAACAGTGACGCACACAAAATACAATACAAAAAGACAGTAAGAAACGTTCAAACGCCGTCTTCACGTTGCCACAGTGTGCGCCATAAAACAGCATATTTGTGGTTATAAAAGTAATGCTAATAATATTAACCCTTTGCACTCGAGTGGTGACTCTGAGGCACCACGTTTTAAGATAATTTTCATATCAACAAAGTTTAGATTTCAAAAGCTGTTAAGGGTGTAATTGTTGCGCGACTCCCAAGAGTCAATTTCATATGCATAAAATGTATTTTGCCATATGAAATAAAAACGCTATAAGTTAGAAAAATGATTTTATATTTACAGTTAAAATAGCCTCGAGTGCAAAGGGTTAATACTAATAATAATAATACAAAATATCAACTAAATATATGTAGGGAAAATATGTAGCGAATGTTTTCGAAACTGTTCTATTTCTTCCTAAACAATGACGCGCGCAAAATACAATACAAAAAGACAGTAAAAGACGTTCGTCATGTTCCGCTTCGTGCCCTGTGCGAGCGCGTCCTTTTTTCCTGGCCGAATGTCACGAGACTTCTTACGAATTTGACCGTTTCGTTCGACCGGCGTCTAAACGAAACGCCCGCCGCTCGTCCTAGCAATGTTATAGCGATGTTTTTATACATATGTCACGTCACCTCACGTATGCACGCACACGTACATCGCGGGCACCGCGATCGGCTGTTGTGATTTCGGAGGTCGTTCCGAAATAGTAAACCTTCGGCTCCTACGAATATGATAATTTCGTTCCGTACAAATACGAAAATATTACCCGTATAAACCTACCTATTGCATTTCGCAGAAAATTTACAAAATTTGTCCAATGTCGATATAACAACCGCGTTGATAAAGATCTTATCATTTGAATAATTATGTATTTCATCGAATGCGTTGCAACGAATCGTCTGCAAATAACAGAAAGACACACGCGTTACGTAAAGCACGTCGTTATATCACAAAAATGAGACGAACCTATCATTATTATGCCATTTCCTCGACTTTTCCTGTACTTCCTTTGCTCCGCTCAAACGCTCTGCCATCGCTATTGTGTATGCAACCATTTTTCATTCTTGTTTTACTCACTGTTATTGTCATCTCGTTGTTATTCTTACTTTTAAACTGTATTATATTTTACATTTACATATATTATATTATACATTTTATCGTTATACCTGTCGTTACACTTATTATTACTGTTATCGTATTTTCTGTAACAAAGGTTCCATAACGTTTACACAACAAATAAATTCAATTGAATTGAAAATGATTTCGGCCACTATGGTTTGATGTGAACTGTACAAACTATGGAAATATAGAATTGTAGAAATAAATATAGAAATATAGAAATAAATACAGAATATAGAAATAAATATAGAAATATAGAAATAATATAGAAATAAATATAGAAATAAATATAGAAACATAGAAATAATATAGAAATAAATATAGAAATATAGAAATAATATAGAAATATAGAAATATAGAAATAATATAGAAATAAATATAGAAATATAGAAAAAATATAGAAATATAGAAAAAATATAGAAGTATAGAAATAATATAGAAATAAATATAGAAAAAATATAGAAATATAGAAAAAATATAGAAATATAGAAATAATATAGAAATAAGTATAGAAATAAATATAGAAACATAGAAATAATATAGAAATATAGAAATAAATATAAAAATAAATACAGAGATATGGAAATAAATATAGAAATAATATAGAAATATAGAAATAACTATAGAAATCTAGAAAAATGCATAGAAAATTCACTGAAATGAAAAATGATTTCGGCCACAATAATCCTATGTGATATTGTGAGAAAAATATTCATGCCCATTCGAGACAACGCAAAGAATATTTTCTTGCGATCGCCGCAGATCCAACACGTAGGCGACAACGTATCGAAGAAAAGCACGGCGATGCAGCTTCGGGACGTACCGGCGGAATATAGGATTGTCCTTCGGCATCGTCGCCAACCCTTGTAAATGACACGTAGCAGACGTTGAGTTGCGGCACGAGAAGAATACTCGAGCCGAGGACATTTTCTTCGAACGAGCTTCCCCTGGGGAAAACAATGATCACGCACGGAATTCGATACGGGGCAAATATAAGTCTTGTCCGTGGTGTCGTTTCGGGGTCGCCGAACAGACGTTTCCTCCTCGCGTACCTGCGGCAATAAATTTCGGTCCGCCAGCAGAGAGAGAGAGAGAGAGAGAGAGAGAGAGAGAGAGAGAGAGAGAGAGAGAGAGAAACCTGTCCTATTTCATGAAAGAAGTTCGTGCAGCAAATTGCGTCTTTTACCATTCTTTGTGCGCCGATAGACAGACCCGCGAAACTTTGTGCAAAAATAAGAATTGTCCCCGCGTCGATTGGGAGACGCGGCAGCTCGGTCGCAATTTTATTTCTCTTTCTCTTTTTTTAGTTCGTTCGAATCTAAAACAGTGTTCGTCGTACTCGTTGTATTCGCCTTTAATTCGCCTTTCCATTTCGATGCGTGCGTTCCCCGTCGACGAACACCAGGATCGCTAAAAATTTCTGCTCCCTCGGATAATTACAAATCGATTTACGTTTCAGGCGTATAAAAATACGCGTACTAAACCTTGAAGACCGGCTATCGCGGTGTCCTCGAACGTGTCGCAGAATGTTTTGGATACCGTGACATCGGCGATACATTTCTTTTCTATTTCTGTTTATGTAACTGGAACCTCTCCGCGAGCAACGATTATTCATGTGGTATATTCATCGCCGCGTAAAATTTACAATATTACAATTGTATTAATGCTACGTTTGCTAACGTGACGCAGTAATTGCGTACGCACGCGAAATGCGAAAACAACAGTGACTGCGTTAGGAATGATTGGACTGCGGATTTTATGCATTTATGCGGCGACAGAAGAACGTTTTTACTGTGGAAAAGAATCGGGAAGAATTGATATTGATACATTGATAATGATATTTACATATATTAATATATTAATATTCATATATTATATTTACATATATTAATATTGATACGTTGATACTGACATATTAATATTGATACATTGATATTGACATATTAATATTGATGCATTGATATTGACATGTTAATATTGATACATTAATATTAACATATTAATATTGATACATTGATATTAACATATTGAGACTGATCTATTAATATTGGTATATTGATACTGACATATTGATATTAACGTATTGATATTGATATTTACATATTGATATTGACATATTGAGACTGATCTATTAATATTGGTATATTGATACTGACATATTGATATTAACGTATTGATATTGATATTTACATATTGATATTGACATATTGAGACTGATCTATTAATATTGGTATATTGATACTGACATATTGATATTAACGTATTGATATTGATATATTTATATTAACATATTGATATTGGTATATTGATACTGATATACTAATACTAATATATTGATATTGATATATTGATGTTAACATATTGAGACTAATCTGTTAATATTGGTATATTGATATTTACATATTGATACCGATATATTGATACTGTTATATCGATATATCGATATTGATAGATCAATATGTCCATATTGATATTGAGAATGGAACTCCAGGCCGCGCGGCGTGCACGGTGAAAATTCTCAAACGAGAACAGCAGTATTTAATTGCAGTTACATATCCCGAGATTCAGCGTCCGATCAACGGACACCGGGCTTGCGATAGGTTTGCCGCGTGGCTCCTGTAATCTTGGTAATCCCGGCGAAAGGAAAAGGCCGGAACGAAGATAGAAAGTATCCGGGAGGGATTGCGAGCAATAATGATCGCGAACATTTAAGCGCAAGAACGCCTCGGGTTGCGTTAAAGGTCCCCTCTTAATACACTTAATAAATATGTTTATCGCTTCGGTGACTCTCATCTATCGGCTGAGTGGGTCCGGTGACGTCACCCCGGCGCTTCTCTAACGTCACGTCACGATAAAACAGCAGAACCGTCGCAGCGGCCAGCGGCAAAATAATTGGCCGTCGACGCGACGGACGGCCACGGCGCCGCAGCGTGACCGGCCCGACAACGTATTCCCGTTTCTATTTACACCCGAGTTGCCGTGTATTTTTAACAAAAACACACCTACCTGCCTACCGCCGCGGCGCAAGTAAATTAACGACGAACCGCGACCGCCGGCATCGTCGACGACGACGACGACGAGGACGAGGACGACCGCGATGGCTTCTCGTATCGCCAACGACGGTATCCGTCACCGTCCGAACGCGACCCGACCGTCGTACAGCGAAACGTAAGACCTATTTTTCCCCGGATATCATTGGCCAATCGTCGCCAATTTTGTACTACAACTACGTTAAAAAAACAAGAAAAATGAAAAGAGATAACAACCGTGAAATCGTCGTTTCGTGACGAGAGCTGTTAAAGTTCAAATTGTTTTTTATTGGGTTGGCAACTAAGTAATTGCCGATTTGTTCAATGAAATAAAAAATTTTTTTTACTTGGAACGAAGTTTAATCTGTAATGTATTTTCCACTTTGTTCGACGACCTTTTGCCATCTCTCCGACAACTTGAAAATTCCACGCTCGTAGAAAGTCTGATCCTTTTCGGCCAAAAACTGAGTTAAGTGAGATTT